AAGACCCGGTACTAATATTTTTTCAAAAACTAATATCGTAAATTATGACGATGAACCATTTATATAATTTTTATAATTTATATCTCATGTGTTTTATTTCTATGTATCTTACACATACTTATATATTAAAATAAATTAATATATTAATAAATAAAATTTTTTATATGTGATCGCCAACACCAGCAATGGATAGATGATAGTTTTCGATAATAGTTTCATGTGAATCAGTGCATGGTTGTTGATTAGTTTAATTAGCTGCATAATAGATAGTTTTTTGTCTATAATTTTTATTGATTATTAGTCGTTTTAACACCACATCCCTGACAAAAAACACCGATAGGTAAGATTAAAGTAATATTGTTAAGTTAATATAGCTTAACAGGTATTTTCTTCCTACTGCTAAGAAGATAGATAAACTGTCAGAAATGTATTACACCATATACCAGTTTCTAATCATAGTCAAAACTTGACAATTACAAAGAAAACCTATGATTGTCTCTTTCGTCCAAGTTGTTATAACTTCTGTAAGTGTAAGTGTAAAAATTTAAACGCCGTATACATTCGTAGCAAAGCAATGTTGGATAAGACTAAAATTATATTCTTATGTCTACCTATTTTATCATTTCTTTCATATTTTATACTGAATTGTCAAAAAAGTACTACCCAGAAACTATTTCTTATCGTAACCAAAACTCGACAATTATAGAGAAAGTCCGCTGATAATGGATTTAGTCTATGTTTCTATAACTATAAAATAAGTTTTGAAAGACATACATTTTCGCTGCAGGGGCTTCGGCACATCAATCGCCTGAAAGCACTGCAATAAGTCCTTTAGCCTATTTTGTAAAAATCGGCTGTTTTAAAAGACTTAAAAATACTTCAGTAGAAGTAAACAACACATTTCAGGTTATCTTAAAATTGTTGTATCTGTATAGACACATTTTCGAAGATAACTAAGTCGGGTCTTCTAGATTTTGGGTGCTGGTTTTCAACATCTGGTTTCAAATAAAAAAGATTATCTTACTTTTTAAATTATTAAAAAAAATTGTTGAAAATTTATCATTGAATTGGTGTTGTCAGTTTGAAGATGTCTGAGCCGCGTCTTCTAGATCCTGGCTGCTAGTATCCTACATTTAGTTTCAAATAAAAAGATTATGTTGATGTTTAAATTATGTAGAAAATGATTGAAGATTTATAGTCCAAACAAAGTTGCTAGTTTTCGAGTTCCACATGACTTTTAAATAAACGAGCTCTACAGCAGTACTGAACTACTCATATATTATTTGTATTATTTGTAAATTATGTGATATTGTGTATTATTATTATATTTATGCATGCGATAAGGTCTTTTATTTTTATTCAAAATCATTGTCAATTGTAAGTCAATGTCGACATGTATGTTTACAAGGAATGGTAAGTCCTTGGTATGAAAAATTTTCTGAATTTTCCGTTTTGTAAGACAAGTTAATCAATGTAAACAAATAAATCTTTAACACATGCATAATTCTGTCAATAACTTTTTACTTCGGCACAAAAAATTGCTATTCTGAACAGTTTATCAATTTTCATGTCATTTAAAAGTAATTTAATTCACTGAAATCAGAGATTTTTGTGCGTGTCGAAATGAAACATTGACAATACAACACTCAAGTGCGTTTGTAAGGAAAATTGAATATAAAATACACGCATAATGAAAATATGACATTTTTATTTCTTTTTCTGAACTGAAAAAGATTTATACTCCCAGCAGTCAGTTATGTATGAACACAATACAATATTTGTCATGTAATGCTTGAAATCCTTTGTGAAATTCTGCTTGGAACCAGAAACAGAAGCCATTGTTAAGTAACTTGCCACTTCATGGCTTGACAATTAAAGATAAATACCAAATAGGTTCACAGTCTGCATATTTATTAAAAAGATATTAAAATTTATGAACTGTGAAGTGTAATGCAAAAAGGTAAAATTGATAAGTGTTCTAAATATATTACATCATTGAATTTATTCTAGCACAAATTTTATTTTATTTATTTAAGGATTTATCGTTATTACATTGTAGTTGACTGAATGTGTACACATTCTATGTAATAAAAAAAATTTAAATCTCAAGATTTTAAATATAAATTTGCTCAATTGTGTTATTTTAGTAGCAATTTTTATGCTAGCAACCGACTATGACTGAAGAAAAGACATTCAGCCACTTTCTATATTGAATGAAGATCAAAATATCTCCCACTGACATTTGGAGATAGAAGCTCCTAGCCTACTATTCTCTCCTTGGCCGACAGAAATACTATATATAACGAAAAAAAATAAATCTTGAATCTGAATGACAGGACATTCAGATTTAAATTAGCACTAGAGATAAATATTTCTTGGAAATTAAACAGTGAATTGAGTTACTGGGTTCTTAATAGAATTTGTGAAATATGTTGAGATCTTAAAAAAGGCATTGGCCTTAAGAATTAATACCAATATCATACACATGTCTTTTGAAAACTTGTTTTAAATAGAATGAAGTAATATATATGCCATATGTTATTTAAAAAAAGGTATATTGTATTAGAACGCGCAGTTAATAGTTGTCTTTGATTCACCAACCAAATCTTGAAATCAAGTTTCACTTTATTAGCTTAACAGATAGAACCACCTGATGATGTTTTTTTTGATACAGAAGCAAGTTAAATAATCTCATTTAATCTAGAAAAATAAAGCAATGAATCGCATTTGTTCGTCTATTATCAAAAGCTGATGTCGTCTTATCTGTGTCGTATTTTTGTTATCATAAGAAATGTTACACGGCAGCTAAGGTGGTTCATTATGTCAACACTTGTTATTTTAACCTTTTCTCAGGCAAGACTATCATAAGTTCGACAAATCTACTGCTGTTCCAATTCGGACAATCACAGATAAAGTGTTTAGAGGTTTCAAAATCCATTACACAAATCCGACATAGAGGTCTCTGAAACGGTCTCTGAAGTATGTTTGAATCGCATTAGCGTTAATAAGAAGAGGCTGCTCTATTTGCACTCAACGTATCAAGAAACATATTTTCAGATATCTACTGCAAGTATGCTTCATATCTACTACATTTCACTGCACATGAATTGAAAACAATAGCAGTTTTAACATTTATCTTAATTTATAACAATCATTTATTTATAGTTATTTAAAACTATTGAAAGTGTGAGCAGATAAAGTAAATCAAATTTCCATGTTTCACCAATCAAGAAATTATGCACTGCCGCCAGCAAATACTTTGAAGGAAAGATTGCAATCATCAGGATACTTGAAACTTGAAACTTGCATTTCAGAAAAATATTTATTGTGAAGTGAATTACAGAATAAGATTATGAAATATTTCTACAACATCGTCGTCGTTATTATCAATAATAGTTTATGTAACAATAGACTTTGTAGTCTATTTTAATATCTCATTAGATTTATTCTCTTCATCTTCTTTCGGTATATTAGCTTTCTTATTATCCTCTCTTTCCTTTATACTTAGTTAGAATTTTCTCCTCAATTATTTTCTAAAAGATGATCTTATGTTACACCAATTTTCCTGTAACTTTCTTTATGACAATTTTATATTTTTATATAATTAGCGAAGCATAAACTCAGGCAACGTTGTCTTGTATTTCAAGTATCAGTATTTCTCAAGTATTTCAAGGCAGAGATATATTGAATATAGTTTAATATAAATGGCAATCCTATCAATCACCTATCGAATATATTTTTATCTCATTCACTAGAGCAAGGATGCACTGGCAAATATACAAAAAGTATCGAAATACTTCACAAAAGTAATTTTAATCTTTAAATTTTATTTGTATTCAGAATTTGAAACACGTCCTAATCATTTTTATTTCTTTCTATTTAAAAATTGTTTAATAAATATTTTTTATTGCTACATATTTTTTTTTCCTTTCTAAAATATACACAGACTCTAGTAGCATTCCTTGAAAGGATACGCATTCTATGAAAATTTTTTTCAGAAAGCCAGAAAGCTTGAGTTTGTAATATTAAATTTGAAATAAAAACAAATGCTGAATATCTAAATATCTGAAAAATATTCAAGATTTTTTCCTAGCAATATAAATAAATTTTATGTTTCCTACAATAAAAAAGTAAAAGGAAAAAAAACAAAGAAATGTGCTGTTAATGTTTTCATTACACTTCTTGCTCTACTCCACTCCTGGTGTGGCTTTAATGGTTATATGGAAATCCTGTAGTCCTCTAGTCCTGTAGTCATATTGCTTGCCGGTTTTATTGTAATGGTAATGGTTATGATGAAAGTATCACCTTTTAAAACATTTCATTGTTTCTCTTCGGTGTAAGTTAAACGCGGCGAACGTTCCAACTAATGCACTTCCCAGACACTTCTTAATATCAGAAATATGTAAATTATTTTATTTGACCCAATGCAAAGTGACTTAATAAAATTTTATAAGGATAATTTAAAGACACACAATGAAGTAGTTTTACATCATTTAACAATAAAAATTCTTCAAAATTTAACAACGAAAATATTTATCTAAATTCTAAAGACTTTAAAAAATGTTTGAATGAATAATATATTTTTAAATACAATTAATTAAAAGTATTTCTTATTTATATGTAATAATATCTAGGAAATATGTTGGAAATTAGAAATATGCCAACCACCTTCTCTAAGTACATGGCATTAAATATAAAATTCCTGCAGTTTCCTCGATAAGAAACAAGGGAAATCATTGCAGTTAAATCATTTTTATTATTAGAAGCAATGCAATTTCCTTGCAAGGAGTGCAATTCTGAGCAGAACGAGCTGAGGAAATGGCATTAGCACGGAAGAAGCTATAAATGCTTTATGTAATTGGAAATGTTCAATTCGAATTTATTTAGAATCATTATCGTAAATTCCTTAATGCATTTGAGATAATGTTTTCTAGAATTTTATTCTATTGCTTCTGCATTTGCTTTAGAATTTTATCTAAGTATTAAAGCAAAACACGTACCTTTGCACAGCTAAAGCCAGAGTCAACCATATGGACGCCGTGTGACACATAGCAGGCATTATCTGAAAAAACGAACAAAGAATATGTTTTTAAAATAAGAACATTTAATGCTTAAACTTAATTTAATAGAAACTTTAATTGCGGTTTTTTTGTTGTAACACAACAGTAGTTCTGTTATTCCATTATTATTATTATTATTATTATTATTATTATTATTATTATTATTATTATAAACTAATGTATGACAATATCCAATATAACAAACCTTTCTTATTACAAACCTTGTTGAATAAAATACTTCATTCTCCACTTTTAATTTGATTTAAGACTAAAAGCTTGTATCTATGTTTTTAAACATAATCATAAAAATATATAATACCATTGACCATTGAAAGGTACACAATAGATCAAACAGGTCGCAGTGTATATGAATCCTTAGCCTAACCCAAAACCCCCAAATACCAATATATATTAAATTTAAACTAATTCGAGTGTTTAGCAACTATTAAAGTACTGCAGTATAAACAAAGATATATTTTTCATTCATTAAAGCGTATCGATTAAGAAGTTATTTTGACCTACTACCATGCTGAATTATATACCGGGTACTTCCGGATACTTTTTGAGCAGAAGGTATTATAGCCTTTACATGAAAGAGCATAATTGATTTTAATAATTTCAACAATTTTAAGAAAATATATTCATGATAAGATGGAAGATATAATATTAACATCCTTCGCCATTTAATAAATGTAACTTTTTTTGGTTACCAGTTTTAATAAAGGTAGTTGGTTCTCCAACAAAATTATCTCTTATCTCTTAGCATCTCTTAGGTTGTGATTAAGAGAACCATATTCAGATAGGAAACCAATGATTAATTTGAGTTTAAATCTATTTGGACCGAGATAGTTGTAATGTTTGTTATTGACCCGATTATACTATTGGGATTGCCTTAGGTCTTTAAAGTCAGTCTAGATTTTCTTAAAATGCTTGTATTCCAATACCCCGCAAAATGGTTCGGATCTTACAATATTGAATCTTTTATTACTGGACATTCAAACGAGTGTTACTTTAATTGTAGTAGCCAACACAGATATAAGATTAATTTAGTTTTTCACCATTTCGGATTTTATGGTTCAGGATAAAGAGAGTTCAAAGTATTCGTTTAGGAATACATAAGAATTCTGGTATTTTTGTGTCGCTTAATGATGCATTCTATGTATATTACAGTTTTCGTTAGAATAAACTTCGGTCTATAAAGCTATTAGAGAAATTTCCATTGAAACGTTTCTATTAAATTCTTATTGAAACGTCTATATTACATTTGTCTCGATGAAAGCCAGCACCACTTTGTCCCGTTCTCCAGTTTTGATATATTAGTGAATCGAAGATATGCATTAGAGGCTGTTTAAAGTATTCATTCTTCCTTTCACTTTTTTCAGAGAAAACGTAGGATATTTGAAAAACTAAAACCATGGTTATTCCTAACTACCATCAGAATTGGAAGATGTCCATTGAGTTCGCCTCTCATGTAGGCAAGAATGTCTTAAAGATGGAATGCACTTCATATTGTTTCACACTCTATGACTGTGTGTAGTGATGTTATCATACGAAGTAACTCCGTGGCAACTATGGGACACGTTTTCACTGTGGACAACACCAATAATGGATAAGCATGTCAGTATTCATTTATTTAGTTTTTGACCACCATTCAACAGCTTCTGACACACATGGTTAGTAAACTATTTATGTTTTCTCTAGTTACTTACCATTATCTATTAAAGGTAAGCGTTGGCTTTATTTCTATATGTTCGCAGACAAGTGAGAAGAAAGAAAGAAAGAGAAAGAAAGAGAAAGAACGAGAAGAAAATAGATTTTTTGTACTTTCTTCTAACATATTTGTAGCTATTGAGATAAGGTTAAACCAATCTAAAAACCATAACTTACACGTTCCAGCAAATACGTTCTATGTGACTGTGTAAGTCATTGCTAAATTGTGTGTTAGTAAAAAGTTGGATAAAACATAAGTATAGTTGTATCGAAGTCGATAATGCCTATTTTAAACCCGGCAACAAAAGTTTTGATTAATGAATTTTTACTCTTCATTTTAAGGTTCATAATACCTTCCATACTTAATATATAAGTAAAATATATAGTTTTTGAAGTTGATAAAAGTTTGTTTCAATAAATAATTAAAAAATTTAAATATTTTAATTTTCTTTTCAAAATAAAACCAAAACTCATTATTAGCTTTTATTTCATTAAACGAAAATATTGCTTTTTAGAATGATATTGCGAATTTTCAACGAAAAATTAATTTGTAGAGCATGACGAGCAAATTATGTGCAAAATGAAATACGAGTACTTAAATGAAATTGATATTATATAAATATGTTAATGAGTTTATAAATGTGAGTGAAATTCGTTTTGAAAACCACAAAAAAGTAATACTGATTCGTGATATCACGTCAAAACCAACGTTATTAGCACACAATTCCATGCTATTTTATTCCGTATTAATCACATTTTACATATAAAATTAATTATAAAATATTAAAACAATAAAACGAAATTAAGACAAAAAAATTATGATATATAACAGCTTTCTCAACTCAACCTTTTCCACTCGAACAACGCCATGATTAATTAATACGCTTGCCATACTGAACCCATACTGAACCCATACTGAAGCCATACTGAAAGGGTTAAGTAAACAAGGACGCAATGACAGATTACACATTAAGGGATTGGAATACTCATATAAAAAATACTAAGTATTCTCGTCCTTTTTGTGGCCAGAAAATTATACAGATTAATTGTGAAAGGGTGCTTTAATGCAGTGTTTTTATGTTTTAGAAAAAAAGGCACAATTAATAAAAGTGGAATTGAAACGTAAATTGCAAAAGAAAAAATCGCTTGTAAATGTCAAAAAACACATTTCGAAAGTTTAAATGCTTCAAAGTTGTTCAGTTCACCATTTCAGGACATTAATATCGGGAGCAAGAGGGGATTTAGTAAAGGATTTTATGTGAAACGCAAAGATTGGACAGCTATTTCATATTCAACTCATTAAATAAATTTTAATTACGACTATTAAAATTTGCCGTCTGCTGTAGTTAGTAAATGTCATTAACTTATACTTTTGTAATATAAAAGAAAAAGATACTTTTATTAATAAAACATTTAATTTTGAATAATTTTAATAAAAACAAATATTTACTAAATGCTGCATATTAATCGAAAAATAAAACAAAGTTTAGTTAAATTACAAAAATCAAGCAACGCGATGGGGTCCATATTTAGATGCTTTTCTAGGTTGTCTCCAATAGTCTAACCAACAAAAATCAAAAAAAATATTTCGTCAAAAGTCTTCAATTCCACAAAATAATAAAAAATCTGTGTTACTTTTTTGTTTCGGGATTCTCTAGTACGGTAATAACACGCCGATATTACAGAACGCTGAACGTTTGCGTTATGTCTGCTGTATTTATCTATATACCTATTCTCTCTTCACTAATGCAATTTATGCAACATTTAATTATATTAAACAAATTTATAAAAATAATTTGATGACGCTTTTAAAATTGGTCATTGATCACATTTCTGCACGCAACAAATCTCGTTCCTCCTAAGAACCGTTTAAGGTTTATGTATATAAATTGATGGAGTGGGGATATCAATTCGAATTGCAAATTATAATTAGAAAATTGTTATTATTGGTCTATATATTTATATGTATAATTTCTGCTCTTCTTCATCTTTGTTGAATATTATATTTTTCTCCTCTGATATTTATTTTATAATTTGTCAATCGATAATAATCGATTGGGGCTAGCAATTGGAAGTTCAAGTTGCATTTGCATTATAATTATCGTAGGTTTGCGATATGGAAAGTTTAGCCCCTTTTTTCTAATTTGATAAATACTCGTATTATATATGCTTAGATAAATTTACCATAACTTTAACTCTTCTCCTTCTTCTTATACTCTTCCAAGGTTATAGCTAAGTTATGCGTGAATAAAACTTTATCTTATGTACTAAGTTATGTCAAAACAATTGGTATTACCATCAACGCGTTCTGCATCAAACTCAATACACAAATACAGCCACATTTTTGTAAAATATGGTTCAATGATTATGTAAAATATCGTCTAAAATTTCTTTTGGTATTTTTTCGATGCTAACTATTCCACCTAACTTAATAATATTATTAAACCAAATAGTGGATTTTTTTATATTTGTAAAAGCTAAACGAACTAATATGCAACTCTAATGGGAACTGTATGTTTGAGGAAAAGAAGACCCGAAGAGGAACAGAAGACCTGAAGAATATGCTGAAAAAGAATCATGGGCTCATGAAAACAATAGATGCATAGAAAAACAATAATCAACAAATAATTAAGACCGATAAAATAAGACGTATAATGCTACTATTCAATAAAAAAGTGGAACGGGGTGTGTCACTGTAAAGCTAGTAAGTCAACAAAATTGGTTTTAAAGTCGCGTTGCTACTATATACCTCACATAATAATACTAATTATAATATTATATATGCTAACATACACTACCATAACACCTATTGTGAGTAATATTGAATGGACAGTAAAGAAAATGCAGTTTAATTTAATTTTTATATATAGAAACAACTGTGAAATAATTTCTCATAAATACCACTAGCTGAATATATACTTTTAATTTAAATGAAATAAAATAAAATTGATAAAATATATATGCATCTCAATTCTATCATTTACTGTTTATATTACAAATATTCACATTACTTATTCAAATACTTTATTTAAATCAAACTCAATTCCAAAAGTTTGAAAACTTAAAAAGATACAAAGTATATTTTTTATGTGAAAAAGAAACAGAACTATTATATTTCATAAAAACTTTAATGATATTAGTTTCAACATTATTTTGTATATGTCTTTTATATAGCAGAAAAAGCAATTCGTTCTGAAATCTATGATATTTTCAATTTTCACAGCATGCAGATTCGACCCACATTGGAAGGTCCTTAACAGCATTGAAATTATTGAAACTGTCTGAAATGTGATTGTCATTTCAATTTTCGGAGTAAAGCGAAGAAAACAAAGGTTTAACAGAAAATTTGAAATGAAGTGAAAAATCTGCCAAAGTAAAAGAGAACTTTTATTTTTTAAGGCAAAAATGATTATTAATCAAATGGCATCGCAGTGTTCTTAAAAAGGGTTAAGTGAGAAAGGACGTGATGGCTGAATGCATTTGAAAAGGTGAAAAGTAACATATTAACATTGTTTTCATTTTCATTCTTAAAAAATTGATAAATGAAAACTTTAATATTTAGATTTTTCTAATAAAAGAGAAAGTTTTTCAGAAAAAGAAAATCAAAATATGACCAATCACATTGTGTTGACAATACGTATTCTCACGAAATAAGTCATAACATTTATTAGCGAAGTAAATAAATTTACACTATATAGTACTACATTTGACAGTATATGAATTCAATACCTCAATCTGGTTTTCAATGAACCGATTACTGTTTGAAACCTTAAGCCAAATGCTTCATTTGGTTCATCATTAGCCACCATCATCCTCAATCAATAGCATTAATAAGCTCAAGTTACCCTTAGAGAATTTTAACAATAATAGCCGAAAAGTTTTCAAAAATCACGTCGAAATATTGGTCTGCAATAGTGGGAAGGAGAAGTAGAATGCCTACACACTAACCACAATCTGGCGCCCAGGGAAGTGTGTGCCCGAATCGCACGGACTAAACCACTCTGACTCATTCCTAGAAACCCTTGTCCTACCTCGGGACTACGTTAGATTTACTTCGAGGTAGGGTCCCTATTAGTCATTTAAGACTTTCATCGGTGTGACCAGCGTCCAGGCCACGCTATTACTATATTTATATTTTTAAGTATATATGATGTAGTATTTATAATATTAGATCAAAATAATAGTGACATATAAGATTATAAAGTAACTATTATACGTTATTATACATAATGAGCCTAAATCAGTTTACAATGATCACTTATCTTAAATCAATTTAATTTAATATTATACATTTATATTTTACTAAATTCGTGATATTGTCTTTCTAATATTATTAATATTAAGCCAAAGCTAGTGCTACGTAAAAGTTCAAGATTACCTAAATATTTCTTACACTCTTACACTAAGTTCAAATAATAGAAAGTACAAAAACGTTTTCTACTGTCGTCCTCATCCAATAGAGGAAAGGACCTCACGAACTCTATTGCTCGATTCACGGCTCATCTCATTCCAGGAGTAATTTTATTTCTAATTGTATTAATCTTCTCCATGTTCTTGCTGTGCGTGTGTGTGGAACTGCTCCAAGTGGTAATAGCTTAACTGCGAAAAATCGTCCTGCATTAGCAGCTAGCACAGGGATTTTGGAGGTACCAAATCTAAGCGAGAATGTCACGATGAATTAATCCAATATCGTTAAAAGATATCGAACTCAAAGAACAAATAAAACGATTAAATAATTTTGATAATTTTTTAGTAAACTCTTGTCCTAAGTCGTATTAATAGACCATAACTTCTAATAAAAACTTCTAAAAATAAAATTAGGAAATCTCACATCGACACATTTCGCTTACATTTTTGTAATAATAATTCAATTTATTTCCGAAACATGGTCGCTAATGAGGGCCTCAACTCAGAATTTACAATCCTTTGTCAATAGAAGCCTGCGGCGTATTCTAAACATATGGTGGCCTTCAAAAGTCTCCAACGAAGAGCTATAACAGCGCACCAAACAAAAGCCAATAAAGAAAGAAATTCAGAGACGGAAATATGGTTAGCTCGGCCACACACTTAGAAAGCCGACAGATGCAATTGCCCACTCAGTCATGGAATGGAACCCGCAAGGAGTAAGGAGACGAGGTCACCCCAAAACCACCTGGCGAAGATTAAAAATCTTTTAACCAGCTACGTTTTACTGCCAGAAACAGAGACAAATAGAGGAAGTTTATAAATATTTTTTGTGCATAGACTTAGTTCTAATTTTGAAATTTTAATTTTTATAATAAATAATATGTCTTAATAATAATAATAATAATTCAATTTATCAATTGATTTTTTCAAGAACCACAAATTTCACCACACATTCACTGAGATACTTACCTCATTAAAAATACTGTAAGCCAAGCACATGGATACCGGATGTAGAGGTTTATAGTGATTACCAAAAGTGTACATATACCAAAGGCCAGGTGCCGGAAAAATAACAGTCAGCATATCACATATTGCCATACCTGCGATGAAATAGTGCACAAAAAAAGAAATTCTTATAATGAAAATGTTAAAATAAATTAAACTTGAAAACTTTAAAAACACGTTCATTGCTGCCAAAGTTCACTAATGTAATTTAATTTCGAAGATAAAAAATAATCATTAAAACAGACATTACACAAAGGGTTAAGGTTTCGCCAACGTTCGGCTCGCGCCCTGTGAACCGAGCGGCGCATGATGGTGGCTTCAATGTTGGTAATTTACTGTTTATTTTTACGATTATAAGCATTTACATTATTATTATTATTACCAGTGATAATACTGTTATTATTATTATTATTATGATTGCTGCATCATCATTCAGGACTCAGGACTTAATGCTTTACGGCTACTGACAGAGCCGCACAATTTATTGTGTATCCTTTTTTATGTGTATATGTTGAGCGGTAATTAATGTTAGCGTTAAATAATTTTAAAATGTGTAATATGAGCACCACGAAGAGCGTTTGATGGCTCATAGTAACTGGCTCAATAATTGAGTTACAGTTTCAATTTCATTTTAGTTGTGGACTGGATGTCACAGTTACACACTAATTTACTAAATATGTCATTAAGTTTCTCGAATTTCACCCAACTTTACACGCTGCTCTGCTTAATAAGTGGAAAATTGCTTCCTTTTAATGAGCACTAAATACAAAATATAATGTGAGGGGCGTTGGAATTTGAACGAACATTAGCAGATGCCATGGACGCTTACAAAGCACTTAAAATTCTAATTTTGAATTACTTTTACTACTTAAAGTATTTTTTAATTATTTTAGTAACAGTAGTCTCAAAAGTATATTTAAGTGGTTCATTAAAAAATTATATGAAATATAACCGATATTTAAGCACATTTTTAATTACTTTCCTTGAATAAAAATATGATGTACTTTCCACAAATTTCTCTGAGAATTATAATATATTTAATAATAAAATTTTAATTTTTAAATATTTTCATGCAAATATTCTGCTGCAATCATATATGTGTTTCATTCTAATCATTTTACGATAATACCTGGTACATGCCATAAAAAATTGTTACCATCCATTGTGTTGCTGGTACCGTTATTGCACACACAGAGTGCTAACAAATAACACTTTGTAAGGATTTAAATATACATAGTACACGCGCAGACATACACTTAATGGAATAGTGACAGCGATTAGATTGTATTGATTCCAGTAGCAGCGCAACTGGATTGTGGCAAAGTGCAATTGTCTGCAGTGAAGCATGTGTCCATAGAACTGCATAAGCAATCAAGATACGCTGTATATCAAGAATATAAAAGACACTTAACTTGTTGGATAGTCGACACACAACATAGGAGGTTTCAATGCTCGTATGACGACAAAATCAAATTTACTTTGTGTCACTAGTGTATAGTATATGAATGGTTGGTAAATGTGCATGTGAACTGGGTAAGAGTACTACACACAGAGTATACAGTAGGGAGAACTTGAGTTTTGATATGCAAACATAATGCAGTAATGTCGCATTATGTTAACGACAAAGCATTTCCTTAAATTACTAATATAAAGTAGTTGCATAGTATAGGAGTGCTCTGTGCAAATGCTTGCCTTTATATGTTATTAAATTCAATATGCTGTTTACTACGTATATACCACTTACCCATTAATACAAAGTTTGTCGGCGTTGCCATGCTCTTCTTGCTCAGTACAAGTACAATCAAAGAATTTGCAACTACTGTTATCACAAGCAGAAATGGCATACAATATCCGTATAGTGGTTCTACATAGTCCACTGGTGTGTCGCAAGTTAAATTCCAGTAGCTCATATTTGTATTTAAGTCAAACATCTGACACCGTTCACTGAAGTTATTATACTGCTGGTAAGAATAATCTGTGCCATTGTAATCTAAAAACATTTGTGAATTATTTGCTGTGCTATTGAAGACACTGCCAATGGCAGTAGCGTCGGATCTTGCTGTCATAACACCACCACCACCACCGCCACCGGCCCCACTGTCTACATTCCAATATGACAAGCCGGGTGCAGATAAATCGTATGTAAAGGCGGTATTGTTACTCAAGCTTGGTGCCATTACTGCAGCAGCCGTTTCCGTTACTGTGCTTGGAATTTCCGGTAAAAGTCTTTGATCGCCGGTAATATCCATTTCTGTATTGATTTTTGTGTTTAAGCAATAGTTTTCTGATGCTTATTTAAATTTTTTGAATTAATAAGTTTTGTGGGAGAGTTATTTCAAACAGAAATACTGCTTTACACATTTTGTATTGTTTCTGTTGGACGTTTATTGGCACAAATTTATAAACGACATTTTTATATATCTAAAGCAGTCAATAGTGCGTTTCTCACATAAATTCAAATTTCTGCCACAGTAATTTTAAGTTGTATTAAATTTGAAACTGAAAGAAAAAAAATCAAAGTTTATTTAAATTTAATTTAATAGGAAATTATAAATTTTTTATTATTTGAATTTTTTTCATTTGGCAAATTTATTTAAAAGTTTTTCTTCTGAAAATTGCTTTCTAACTAATGACTTTTAAAGGGAATAAATGGAGACAAATAAAAAAGCACTAAGAACAATACCATTTGCTTTATAATACTTTTTAATTTATTTCTTAAAAATACGATATTCGATTAAACTGAGAACAAAACAATTTTCTTCTAAATGTATTCCCCGCAATGAGTTTTTTATAGCGCCATAAGACTATGAAAGAACACTTAAACTATTAAGAAAATTAAAAATCATTTTCTGCATTTGCTGCAAAATTTGGCTTGAAGTGTTCTCGAACATGCACGACGGAGAGCAAATGGTGCTTGTAGCATTAGCGACAGTAAATTTATTTCACAAGGTGCAACCACGCATTTTTCATGGCTTTAATGGCGCATCATTCTTATGGTACTTCCTCTGAATTCGCCAGCTCCAGTGTTAGTTTTCTATGCTCCTCGTATACACTCTGCTATTTACCGCCTCAGAGCTTCAATTTGTTTATTATTCAAACGACCGAGTTAAGCTTATTTGCACTCTATTTATGCCAACTCGTGAGGATGCTTTCATTACACCCAATGGAGAAACGTTTTAATACCTTGCCAAGTTTACATTCGGTCTTTTATTGTGCTTTCCTAAAGTGCATATTTACTTTTACGTTGTGTATACTTGAATAAGTACATATAAATTATATGTATATATTATGTCATTGTCATTGACAAGAATTAAACGACATAAAATTTTAAATTAGTTTTTTGGAATCTGCTCCAACAATTTAAGTAATTTTTAAGTAAGTTTCTAAAGTTCTAAAAATAATAATCTTTGTAAATGCAATTTATTTCAGTCATAATCAAAACATTAAATTATTCTTAATTAAAATTTTATTAACTTAAAATTAATAGACAATAAATTAGGTGAGATTAGGTTCAGAGGACGTGACCAACACATTCACTTAGAGATATCTATTACCAATTGTGACTTAAAATCGTTATCGGAAGGCAACATACATTGATTGTTGTTTCTAATTTAACTGCATGTGCAATCCTTGTTAAACTATTTGCTTTTCTAGCTGAAGTTCAGGATTTTTAATAGGTCTACCAAAGTTGTGAGAATCTTTTAGACATGAAACTCACTTCATCCACATACACTTTTAAAAGATTTTGAGTGACTTAAGTGACTTGAAGTGATTTATTAAATTATTTAATCCGTTTTTATAAATCGACACTTACTTCAAATATTATTTTTTCAGCGATTTTCAAATTCAAATAAAACTGCCATACTTAGCAAATTAACCTGTAATTTATTTGGATTAAAATCAAACCCTAATAAATATAAAACCAAATTAAAAAATATTACAAAATTATGCGTTAAATAGGAAATAGTTGTTTTAAAATTACATTCAAATCACTTTTCACATCCTTAATAAATAAATGGCTGCCGGGAAGCATTAAACTGCAGCACTTAAAATGTGAAATGCACTTCGGTGCGCACGTCACCTAAATAAAGTGAATCACGTGAAACGCATTGAGGCAAAACATTGATTTCATGACGTTATGTGCAACAATAAAACACTAAACTAACAAAAACTAAACAACAAAACAACAAAAACAAGTAAACAAACACACAACAAGTAAACCCAAAAAAGTTGCTAAAATGCATGTCATGCGATTTTGGTTGAGTGCCAGTCTTCAAACATTGCAATTGCACTTACAGCCAAAGCTTTTGGTGTTCGCTTGCGTATGAGTAACTTTATTTCGCTCAACTGCAGGCTGCAGCAAATGCATTACTGCATCAATGAGGCGTGCAAAAACTTAATTAAAATAATTTCGTGGTTTCTATTTATTTTTATATATAATGGCGTATACTGTGGTTGAGTATAAAGTAAGCAAACAATTAAGTTTAAATTTAAAATAGATAAAGTGTTCTTTGAAATTGAATTATCAAAATTAACGTAATTCAATATTAGCATTCAGTTTTACCAGTAATTCATGGAATTATATTGAGTTATTACATATATCAAATGTGTGCTTTACAAATTAGCTGATTCTTATGCAATTAAAATATATTAATTAATTCCGTAACAACATTTAAGTGCTCAGCGCCACTTTTGTCATATGGGAAATTAGTTTAAAATTAAGGAAATTATATTTTGTGATGATATCAGATTGAAAATTGATACCATTACACCATAAGCTATTATTACTTTGTTTTACTATTATTTATTAATAAGGAACTGAACTGCTAGCTCCTTCTTCCTGCAACTTTTATTATATTTGCAAATCGGCAATATATGAATGAATAAAGATAAGTTCGTGAATACAATATGTTTAAAAAATAAACATTATCGGTGCTTAGGTTAAATCATATTATTTATTTATTATTATAATTCAAATAACTTTATTCTCCTTAGAACATTTGTTAACTGTATTTGTATCATTTGTTATTATAACAGTTCAGATTGAGTACTCTACAAACACTCGCATTATTTACTTATTTATTCATTTGCATTTACCCAAACGTCCTATATACTTGTATTTTATATTTAGTTATACATTTTGGTTATTCAAATCAGATTCATAGTCCTATAAATACTCGTGTCATATATTTATCTATATATTTTAGTCTTTTAAGCGGGATACTCGCATATCTTTTATATCTTTCAAATACTCGCATATGTCTGTGTAATTTCTTTATTGAAATCAATTATTTTTATTTGTATTCTATTTAATCACAATTACATGTGTCATTCATTCTTTTCAGGGTTGTAGACACCTCCCCATTTGAGATTGAATCTAAAATGCGGTGACTCTAAGGTCTAAATCGGTCAATAGGATTTCTAGTACACCTTGATCGGTTATATGGAACAACTGCCTCATTGCATCTCTTAGCTTGAGGTGGTGCAATCTCAGATACTTCGTTTAATGATTAAGTTGAAGTCGCAACTATGTTTATGTTAGTTACTTCGACCAGATCCTTAGCTGTTGTTTCGTAGAGTCAAATAAATCAGCTAAATACTTTTCATCGACGATAACTTCGAAAGTACGTAAATTTTGTCTTCTTCAATTAAAGTACAATGCACTGTGGAACACTTCTCTGCAAATCTTCTCGCAAATATCATTCATAATCGTTGATATGCATTAATTTAAACATGAAAATATTATTCTTCGTAAGATCTTTGATTCTCTACGAGTTGGCGACGACTACCAGGACATTGATATAATTCAGCGAATTAGCATCCAGCGGCTTCGCTAGCTTAGTCATGTCGTGAGAATGGATGAAGATGCTCCACCCAAAAAGGTATTTGAAGCAGTAGTTGGTGAAAAAAGACGTAGAGGTGGATCGTGTCTTCGGTGGAGTATTCAAGTTAAGGAAGCGCTAACTGGACTTGATGTACGAAACTGGAGAAGGCGCGCAATGGCATCAGGCCAAAACTCGATAACGGATTGTTATGGCAAAATAAGTAAGTAAGTAGCACAAATACTAACACAAGAAACATTAATTCACAGTTCACTTTATTTAAAATTTTTTACATTTAATATCGAAAAAAAAGACAATTGCAAAATTTACATCATATTATTGACCCCAACATTTTCAACCTTAACAGTATATTTTCGAAACAAATAAAATTATGAATCATAAGAGAAAATATTCAAATTTAATATCAGATACAGATCGATTATAACTCAAACTACAATATTTCATTTTTTGCACATTTACTTTGCCAATAACTATTACAATTTTTTATCTGTTTTTCAATAATATTTCCAATTTATCGCTGTCAACTACACACCGTAAAATAAACTATAAGATTATAGTATAAAAATTCAATTAAAATGTAAAATAGCCAAAATATTTTGATTTTTTATAGACAAAATGAAAATGTAAATAATTTTAGCATAAAATTTACATCACATCAATAGTTGCTTTCCACCGTAATATATGCTCAGAAACTTACAAAAGAACTAATGCGGATTCTTTTCACATAAATATATTCATCTACAATACATAATGTGGATCCAAATATATATGGAGGGTGAAGAAGCAAAATTCCTAGTTTGTAATTTGAACTGACTAAATTCGCAAAAATACGTAGTGGAGAGTGAAAACAACAAGTCACGCTAATTTTATTTTCTATGAATATTTTTGCGTATTTTTGGTATTTTGAACGATTTTACTGCCGCGTTTCTTGGGTACTATAACCCCAAGTCGTTGAAGTCGTTAGCCTGCAGACACACGTGTACAGGATTCAGTTTAAAGTGTAAGTTACGCGTACTTCAATTATTTTAACTTTATTTAAACAAGCCAAGAGAAGACTGACATTCAAGATATTCATTCACATGTTTACCACTTCACCTATAATAAATGATTATATGTACACACGTCTGCTGCTGCCTTAAATTTCTATTAAATATTACATTATTA